TTCTATTGGGACCAAGCGGTCTCCGTATTTGCTGTGCGTCCAATGATCCGGATCCTTCCAAGACTGAACTCCTGGCCATTCCGAGACCAGTCCTCGAATTTTCACTGGTTTTTGAGGGATGTAATACTCAGTGAGAAACTTCTCGAATGACATCTCGGATGCATCTACTTCTTCAACAGGGAACTTCAGCATTGGCGGTTCGTCCTCTCCCGTTGGGAAAGCCCGCTTCACTCGCTTGTCCTCACGATGCACCGATACGCTTAACTCCGCAATCTCCCGACAGACCTCCTGCAGGAGCTCATATGATCTCGTCGAAGGTCCACCAATCATAATCCCCATATCAGCATAAAAGGTCGACTTTTGTAGTATTGCCAGACAGCTAGCAGCAACAGCAAATGCCTCTCGGCATCCATGGTGGACCTTGGTGTAATAGCCGGTATGGATAGTCGCCCATGCCTCGTGGTACACGGCCTGAGCTGTGCTGATGCTCATCGCTTTTGCAAGTTCAGAAAGCATACCCAGCAAATGCCGACAGTCATCCGAGTCGTTCGTCCGATCCCCTACAATCTCTGAAATCACTGTCTTCACCCGAGCCAACTTATCCTCTACGGATGCCATTGACATTATTCCAAACCGCTATAGATGTTGGATGAAAAGCTTATCGAGCGTTATCACTAAATAACGCAACGTCTGAGATGCGAAACGTGGGTGTTGTCAGGACGTATATATTTACAAAACCAACCCTGATGCTGCTATTGCTGCCACGAGGCATTCGCCTTGTGCGTCTTGCCATTCCTGTGCTCTTTCAGCTGGTCTTCCGATGTGAAACCAAGGAAACAGGTCTGACACCAATATTCCATTCCTTTCCACCGCGCGTCCAGCTCGTTCCTCAGGTGCCAGAATTTGCACTTCTCCCCTTGCTTGCATTGACCAGTCTTCTTATACATACGGCACATGGGAATGTTGAGATTCTGCGCAACTCTAGCCAGGGCCGGATCGAACTTCTTCCGATGCCGAAGTTCCCGGATAAGCTCAGCCTTATCAGCGGCAGTCATCTCTTCCGGCTTCACGTGGCTGAACAGACAAGACTTGCCGCCCTCCTCGAACTTGCACTTTCCCGTCAAAAAAGAGAAACACAAATTCGAGAGGCCTTGTCGCATCTTTTTCCGCAACACTTTGTTCGACAACTTTTCCTGAGCCTTCTCCTCATCATTTAGTTTCCTTTTCTTTCCTTCCCGAACCGCTTTCACCGGAGATTTCTGAGCAACCACACATGCCACAGAACATATCACCCTATGCTCACCTCGTCCTCGCTGCTGCTACTACTGTCACCATCATCTGAGCCTTCCAAGGCAGCCAACTGAGCGTCCAGGTCGTTCAATGACAGTTCGTTAGACATGCGGACCACAACAGTAGCGCAACTAGGGTGAAACATTTTAAACTCATTTTCAGGGCCCAGCTCAGCACAATCGATCTAGGTGCTGCCCTAGTCTTGGGAAATCTCATACCAGTCTAAAGTTCAATTACAAATTCGGCCAAAAGTGTACAGAAATTACTAAAATTTTCCCAAAAATTTCCTCAGAATTTTCATATTCTCACCAACACATGTAGTTGATTATGTGCATATTTCCCCATACCGTACTATGCAAAAGTATCGACACAAGCAAGAGAGCTAGGACGCCCCACAAGGTCCCATCTGAACGCAAGCACCTCTCCAAGAGTAAACAATGTAGTAAGTGTTCGGTTCGATCAACAGTTAGCCAGCTCTGCGAAACCAGTCAGCGTCACAAAACTATTCTCTTGAATGGGAAATCGGCAATTATCACACTTGATGGTCTATCGAGCCATACTATTATAAAAACGAGACCGTGTGAGATGATCAACTTTTTCCTATTGTTGCGGCCACTTGAACTCCGACGAATCAGGCGGCGCCGAGGTCTCCGCGGCGGGCCACCCCTTAGCAGCGCTCAGATTTCCGGTCAGCTGAAGTCGACAAAGGCTTCAACAAAATACGATGCTATCTGTGTCCTCACCTTCCTTCTGATTCCGGGAACTCTAGTCGGCTCCTCAGTAGTAGTAGGGGCGGCAGTGGGCTGCTGCTGCGGTGGCTGTACTGTTTGAGTGGGCGCGCGCTAAAACAAAAGGATCTCCACAGGTCACTACACACAAAAGCAGAGAAAAGAGCCATGATAGCACCAGGACCATTTCCTGACTACTTCCCCAACCATGCAAGAGTACTCACCTCAGAGGTCACACTACTCTTCCTCGTCAACTTCTTCGCCCCTACAATTGGCACTTTACGGGGAGGAGGCGAAGGTGTGGTGATCTTGGGAACTCTTTGTGTCCTCTGCGACACCCACTGCGGCGGCGGCGATGGCTGAGCATAGTACTGCTGCTCCTGCTGTCCACCTGATCGGACCACAGCGTTATCCTATCGAGAGCGGCGAGCCAGTCCTAGTAGGACTGTCCTACCACCTTCTTGCGGTGCCGACTGCTGTTGCTGCGATCTCGCGAGCTCGGGGGTTGGCACTCGGAGATTCCTCGGTGGGGGCATTGGAACTTGTGCCTCGACAAGCATCCAATATCCATAAAATCGACAAACATGCATCACTTCGCTCCGCCTTCTACTACCTGTGGTATGGTATATCCCGTTTGACCATAGTACCCTGCTGCTGCTGTTGCCGGAGCCCCCGAATACCCAGATCGTGGTGAATTCGAGGCGCCACTAGCTACAGCAGCATAGGATAGCGGTGCTGCCACCTAAAACAATAACGAGCATCATCCCAATCAGCCGAGTTGTCATTCGAGTAGTCCTTACTCCAGTCTGCTGCTGCTGCTGCCCGACTACTTTTCCCGGTGGCACCAACACAGCGCTCACTACAGGGACCGCACCCTTAGACTGCTGTTGCTGTTGCTGCTGGAGATACTCTTCACGATCAGCAGGTCTACCCGCCACCCAAGCTCCTCCCGATGCTTGATACGGCTGAGGCTGTGGCGGCGGTGGCGGCAGAGACTTGTTGGCCGTGCCTTCCTCTCCCCGCTCATCCTCGCTAGTTGAATTCTCCGGCTGCTGCTGCTGTGGCTGCTGACTGGCCCGAGTCTTGCTCTCCTCTTGAAGCCGCTTCAGCTGCGCCATCTGCTCCTGCGAACAACAGCGTCCAATAGACCAGCACTGCACTCAAGAGAACCCAACGTCGTAACAGCACTGCCGAGTGATGCTACTCCCACCATACTTACCTCAATCGCCTGTCGCTGCTCGTTGAGGGTATTCTGTTGCTTCTCGATCTCAGCCTGTTGATGCCTCCTCAACTCTGCCATCTGGACATTGGCTGCCAAGTCCTTATCCTCACCATCAGCACGGGCTAACACTCGAGACAGGACTCCACTCTGAGCAGCACAAGTCTTGTGATAACAGGAGAGCCTGGCAGGTGACCTGCCTTCCCTTCTAAGTCCATTTCTATTCCGTCGAAAATCCGCCAAAACGCATAAATTATCATTGATCATATCCTCACATAAATTTTCTTCCCGACATCCACCGATTCCTACATCATCCGAACTGTCCTCTTCGTCATCACTGTCATCAGGCGCCGCCTTGGCAGAGCTCTTAGTTCCACTGCTACTTTCACTACTCTTCTCCCGACCACCACCACCAGCCACTTTCCTCGCCCGCCTCTCGAAAGCCTTCGCTTTATCCTCTTCTTCCCTGAGGAGACCCGAAACCCGAATGCCCCAAGATGCACAACCGCCAATGCGCCTCTATTACTTCGCTTTCCGCTCAGCCTCCTCCTGCTGTTTTACTGCTGCTTCCGCCGCAGTCCGCCCTTCATTCGCACTAGCCAATGCTAAGGTCCCTAAGGCACACCACCACACTGACCAACAAGCCTCCACGAACTGCCCCCATCCTACTAGGGCTTAGGTCAGCATTCTTCCCCCACTTTTTCTCATATTGCTTCTTCGTAGCCGCCAAATCATCATCGAGTTTCTTCGCAGCCGCCGCTTGGTCAGCTATCCTCTTCTCCTCCGCCTCCTTTATAGCCTTACGCCTCTCCTGTGCTTGAGCAAGCTCCTGCCCACCAGACTATTCAGCGATGATGGTTTCTACTACTACGTCATTATTAGTTTCTTCCTTTTTCTTCAACTCCTCCTTCCTCTCCTTCAGCATGTCTACAAGGGACTGCTGGTACGAC